TGTCTGTCTGTCTGTCTGTCTGTCTGTCTGTCTGTCTGTCTGTCTGTCTGTCTGTTTGTTGCGTGTGTCACTGCAGTTTCACGTTTCGTATGATGACCCAATAACAGAAGCAACGTCTAGAAAAATGTTGTATGCTCTTATTGATGTTATTGGACTTGGTGGCCATCTGTTTCTTTTCTTTCCCCGACAGGGCATGGATGTTTGGCGGGTGTTCTGGTGTGATCTGCTTCTTCTTCTTCTTTCATATCAAACATCTATTGACCTTAATATCTCTCCTGATCCTTTTTTTGTAGGGTACTTTCTAATATTCTATCTTGAATTATTGAAATTCTGTGGACAGGGCGATAAAATATCTTCATTTAAAACCATCTAGTTTGTAACATCTCTAATCTTAAGAATTTATTATACCATCTAATTGTGTTGCAAGTGCTGTAAAACTCTTACTTGTGGGTGGTGGGGGGTTGCTCTTGTTTGGTTTTTCTCCTTCTTCCCTGTCAAAAATTAATCGCCCTTATCTCCATTCCTTCTTTAGTGTTTGTTACTCCCTTGTAACACCTTTAATCATCGGCACTTTTATGACTTTGTGTTGCAAGTGCTGTAGAACTCTTTCTAAAAGTATCTAATCTTAGGCCCTTATTTGACCTTGTAGGGTTGCAAGTGCCATAAAACTCTTACTTAAACTAATTTTCGCCTTTATATGACCTTGTGTTCCAAGTGCTGTAAAACTCTTTCTAAAACTATCTAATCTTAGGCCCTTATTTGACGTTGTTGCTTTGCAAGTACTGTAAAACTTTTACTAAAACTAAAAGTGAAGTTAAAGAACCGTACTTGACAGCTTCCCCTCTTTCTTGCAGGAGATGACGGAGCTGCAGCCGCTGCACACGGCCATCCAGACGCCGCAGAAGGCCAAGGATGGCTTCCCGTTCTCCACCACGCCCAAGTCCTCTGACAGCTCTGTGAAGCCGGAGCCACAGTCGAATGACGTCAAGCTGGTCAAACAGGTCAGTGGGGTCACGCATCCTTGTTATCATCATACTCGTGAGATAATTGCCCAAGTCATTTGTGGCCGGTTCAGGGTTTTTGGTTCTGAAATAAAGAGCAGAGCCAGCTTGGACAATTAAAGAATAATCCAAAAATGAAATCAATTGAGTTCTACTAAAATTCATGCATTTCACAGACAGTCAATTGTTCAAACGAAACAGTCGTTTCTTAGTTTTTCAAAAGGGCTAAAAATGACTTTAGCATTTATCATCTTATGAGCATGACGTTACGTAACAATTAGAAGAGATTGTGGTAATGGCTAACGGTTATACGCACCTGTTGACTCTGTTTAATATATAGACCAGTGCTTCCTGATCTGTGTGACATCTGCTATCGTTCTTTAGTAGGCGATTTGATCATTTTGGTGGGCAGTGGGGGGATCACCCGGGTCAGTGACCATAAATGTTGCATCGGCAGTGTGCTTCTCTTAACTCAAACAAATCAAACCAACAATCTGAGGTCGTTTTCATTTTCATCTTATATTATTTGCGTGCATTGTTGTTATTTCCAAGCTGTTGCGATTATTTTCTGCTAATTTATATTTCTTTTGTTGTAAGACTTTTTTTTCTCTCTTATTTATTTATTTT